TGTGGATCCGGATCGTGTTGATGACACCCTGGTTACCCGCAATGAGACCGACTCGCAACCCGGGCAGCCCGAACTCCTTGCTGATTGAGAGAACTGTCACGCAATAATCCATTGCTCCAGGGACTTTAAGGATGCTGTGAAGCATTCCAACAACAGAGGGGTAGCGCGTATTCCAGGAATCCATGTCGTGCACGGCAAGGATGTTGTTTCTCCTGGCAAACGCAACGATCTTCTCAAAGCACTGGAGATCCGCCACTCTTCCAGTTGGGTTGGCGGGGGAATTCAGATATAGGAACCGTACACTATTTGGAGGAAGCTTGTCGACCTCCTGTTGGGCATGTTCGAGGTGTATCATGCCACTTTTTTCGTCCAACTGCAGTCGTAGCGGCTCCGCACCGTTGGCAGGGCAATCACGCCCACAGTCGGTAATGATAGCAAAGGGAGGAGAACGTATCGGCCACTGAGAGCTCGTGATAGTGCATCAAACGCTTGTGAGGCACCGTTGTTGATCATGATCTCTTTCGAGCTGTCCAGCTGCATCCCAAACCGTGACTGCATGAAAGCCTGAAACGGCTGGCGAAGGCTCTCTAGTCCGAACGACGACGGGTAGTGAAGAGCCGCGGCTGCATTCGTGGACAAGGCACGCAATGCCTCCTGAGTCGGTCTGTACTGCTCATAAAACGGGTACAAGTAGTCAGTACCCATGTCAATGAATCTGACCTGACCTGTTTTCTTTCAGCGATATGTCGCAACACCCGCGCCATTATCAAGTGCCTCTTTTCCACGGAGCTCTCCATCTCTCCCCGGACAAGGTCCCTCGAGACACCGCCACCGGAACATTGCGTTTGCTGATGGATGTGATGGATTGCCGTGTTTGCTCGATAATGTTGGAGATTTCCCTCACATTCTTCCAATCTTTCCTGGCAGCGGTGAGAGAATGTAGTCCGCGGCGCATGACTGTGAGCGCCTCGTTGTAGGATTGAAACATGTTATCTTCGTTTTGTTCATCGAAATAGTCGGAGATTAAAACACTTCTGGCTAATAACTGGCTGATACCGAAATATGAGAGCACGACGCGTAGTTGACGAGCCATTTGTTTCTGAATAGTGGACTGTGCGTTTGTCCATGATGCATAGGCCATCTTTTCTCATGGTGTACTTGGATACCGAATTGGAAGGAAATGTTGATGGGTCTAGCTGTGCCTCGGCGCCAGCATGTGGGAGTGTTCCCCAACCTGGTGATCCCGGAACAGCATGCAAACACCCATTGAACTCGTCCACGTCCTACAGAGGAATCCACACGGTAATCACCCGGCCGATGGTGTCGAAATAGGCACTATTTTGATGCCAAGGTTTTTCTGATGACACTCCTGGGGTTTTCTTCATGAGGAAGCACTTGGAGTGAAGGCCGAGATTCGGCCCAAGAAGTCCAGCAACAATCTTCAGGAGAAGGGGGTGGAGGGCTATCGCTTTGAGCTCGTGACCGTGGTCGATCAAATTCGCCACTTTCCGGAGCTTCCCGGCGTGAGAAGGGACAGAATCATGCTGACCCATCCAACCGCCGCCAACTGCCTCCAGGTTGAAGTCTTGGTAAGAAGTGACATCCTTCCCAACGAGGGTCTCCAGCCTCTGGCAAGCAGACACAACGATGTCAATGTCCTGATCGCTGAAGACTTGATCAAGCACAAGAACACCATCAGTCTCAAACTGTGTGCTTGATGGACTAAGGATATAGGACTGTCGCGGCTCATGGTTTATATCTTCCAGCCTGCATCATCGTAGAGACGCCAGATACTGGGCCAGGGCAGGCGAAGGCATCGTGGAGATCGCGGTGGGAGAAATCATGTGGAATCCGTAAGGTGCCTTTGATGCCAGAGAAAGACGCTGGATTAAGCCGTAATATGCCGTGGTTTAACGGATCTGAACAGGTCAAAACATAAAAAAAGGAGCACTGTTCATCAAGGTCGCCTATCATTGACCTTCCACCAGCGTGCTCCCAAAGCTAGGTGCCTAGGTACCGAGAGAGGGCCAGGCCAGGAGGCCAGCAATGCAATAATGCAGAATGAAGATCCCGATGCTGTGTTTCACTTCGGGCCCGGATTTGATGAAGTTTGATTCATCCCCGCTCCTGTCCTACCCAGTGGTGGTGCACAGCCGTGTCAATGGTGGGCCTACACAGGGTCCTGAATTTAATCGCCTTTTTTTTCTATTTTATGTATTTTTTTCTCTCAAGAGCCACAATGTGCACTTCAGGATATAGATATGCAGTTTGGGCGTTTCGGTGGGCTCTGACCTGAGCGTGGTGTGACAGCAGCTTCTGGGGCGAAACTCACGAATTTCTCACGGCCCTTCACTCCAAGCACCAGCTATCTAGTCACCGACTCCATGGCCCAAGAACGGAACACAGCTTGGAAAAATCAACGCCCGTTTTGAAGTTTCTGACTCTCGGTCTCCCGCGCTGCGGCACGACTTCCCTGACAGCAATCTTGCAGTCAAATGCATTCGGTATCAAGCATGTTCTTACCGCTTCTGACACGGCTAGTCATGTGGACAGGTGTGAGCGCATAATCACGACACTTCAGCTCCGGGGACACGAGAATGCGGCCCGCCGTCGTGCCATACTAAAAAGCATTGTACACGGTTACGCCGCCAGCACAGAGACTCTCAACCCACTGATGGATGATCTGATGGATCTTTACCCTGATGCCAAGCTTATACTCAGTAAGCGGCCACCCCCACTCGATGGAGGACCAGCAGCGGCAGATTGGGCGCGAAGTTGTGCAGACACCATCGGCTTTTTTGGCTCCAACTGGATGCTGGCAATTTAATCACCGCGATGTACAGAAGAGCCCGGTCGCTCAGACTGTGATGCTGCAATGCATATTGTTGAGGGATCTCTTGAGACCCTGGCCGAGTTCAACTTCGAAGCGGGGAGCTGGAGAGTGACGGGTCGAGACTTTGTTGGTTCTAGGACCTTGCGCGCTTCGGCAGCGGCTGAGCTGGGAATCTGGGCCTTACGTTTGACCAGAGCAGGGCGTGATTCAACCTCGTTCCGCTGGCCTGGGACAAAGAAACAGGTGAACGTGGGCTCATCGGACTGATCCAAGGTCAAGCACAGGGAGGCTGAATCTTGTTGGCTCTCGGCGCTGCCAAAGAGCATGCCCAACCTTTTCAGCCCTACATATCACAGTGGGACCGGGTCCACGACACCACGTACAAACAATGAGACCAAACAGCATATTAACGGTCTTCAACCCAAGTTTTCTACAATCCAAACAGCAAACTGGTATCATCCCTCCTTTCCATCCACCATCACTGCACCAACTCCTCGCCCTTACAAAAGAGCAACGAGTCCAACAACAGCCAAAGCACCAGCAACGAAGCCCTTCTCCCTGGTGGCACCGCTCCCGGCAGGCTTAGTCTGCTGGCTGCTCGCACCCGTGCCAGTACCAGTCTGCTGGCTACCAGCCCCAGCCCCCGTCTCAGCAGGCCCGCTCCCCGACGTAGGAGTAGCAGACGAACCACCACCAAGAACGCCACCGTTCGTGCAAAGATCCTGGTACACGCTCGTCACGCTGTCCACAGTGTCGGCCCACTCGGGGCACCCAGCCAACACGCTGCTGATCTTGGGAATGGTATCCTTAGCCCATGAGGAGACCTGGTCGACCCACGAGGAATAGGCCGGGGCGATGCTGGCGGGGGGCGTGTAGGTGCAGATGTCGGTGATGGCGTCCTCGTCGACTTCGAGGTTCTCGAGTCCCGGAGGAGGGGTGGGAATGGTGGAGTAGAAGGCGAAGAGGGACGAGAGACAGGCTGTTGCTTCGGCCACGTCGGTCTGGCGGGGCTGGAGGTTCTCGATGGCGCGCTTTTGGGCCATGTGCATGGGAGCTGAGAGGTCCGACGCCAGCGCGAGGGTTGTGAGGGAGAGGAGGGTGGCTTGGACCTTCATTTTGGCGGTTGTGTTTTTGGTTGAGTGAATGTGGTTCGGTCTGATGGAAGAGCGAGTGTTTGGTTTGAAGTAGGGCTGAAGAACGTTTGGCAATGACGATGATGGAGGAAGAGGGGAGACTTTTATCTCAGACAAACACCCCCCTGGATCCCCAGCTTCTCATTTCCTGGACCCTGTGCCAAGGGCAGCGCCCCCAATGGCAGGGTCGATCATGGCTCTGTCTGCTCCACTGTGGACCAGCCGCAGTTGTGATGGGTTTCCGAGCTTTTCTCCATTTGGGAAAAAACTGTGGCGCTGTTCCTGTCTCGGTAGCGACGTTGTGACCGTTTAGCGGCTTGGTTTTTGAGATAGTAGTCGCGGTCGTGGCCGTTTTGAGCCCCCGATTCTAAAATAGGAATGCATGTGCTGTGCGAAACCAACAAGCCACAGCAGATCTTGAACGAATGCGTTTTTATGCTGGTCTGGGTTTGGTTGTAATTCCCGAAGGGACTCGGTTTCAGACTGTCGGCTTGCCGCTGGGATGTGCAGCCGTTGCGTTACCCCTGAAATCTCGAAATCTGTTTGCTGCGCTGATGTAAACACCCCGACGGGATTCATGCTCATTGGCAGGTTCGGGATGTCAAGAGACAACATCCCACCGAGCCATGAAGCTCATCTAAACGTGGCGTGTGCATGTTTTTTGACAAGAACGATCCGAACTTTTGAATTTCAGATTGATAAAAATGAGACAAAAGGAGGAGACATTCAACGGCGCGCCACAGTTGACGACCCACATGCAATGCCAAGACCTGTTGCTTCCCGTCCCCAGACCGCTTGGCATTCAGCTGCGCTGCACTAGCGATCCTCCATGCAAGGAACAATCTCTGGCGGCCTCAGCTGATCGGCTCTTCTCACTTTCGCACTGATATCCCAGCACGGCAATCCTCGACGCCGATTTCCCGGAACACACCACCAAAAATGGTGTCGTCGCGGGTTATCCCGTTGCCCGCCCCTCACACCCTGCATTTTCCATATCCAAGAATGAAGACAGCACAGCAAAAAGATCGGCGTATCTCTCCCGCCGGGAATTGAACCCGGGTCTCGAGCGAAGTCGAATTCTGATATGAAATGACAAGCTCACATACTGACCACTATACTACGGAAGATTTGCAGCTGTTGGCAGCTGCCGTAGAAAATTGAGTCTCGCCTTCTCGGATACGGGGAGTCGAACCCCGGGCTGCTGAGACACTCGCATTTGCATTTGAGAGTCAGCGATGTTACCGCTACACCATACCCGATTGTTTGATGCAAGTTGGAGCGGAAAGTGCGGTGAAGAGGTTGTGTGGTGGAGAGGGGAGAGGAAGGGTTTTTTTTTCTTCTCGGTTGCTGTCCGGAGCCGGCTGTTGTGGATCGTGAGGGTTTGCAAAGGTGGGTCGCGGTTCAGGGGCTCAGGGGTTGGGAGCGGATGAAAACACAAAGCATGAACGGTGACTTTTGCATTTGGATGAGAGAGAGGCAAATGTAATGAGGAAAATGAGCTTTGTATTCTGATCTATCTCATAACCACCACGTTTCATGTCGCATGCTTGTATCCAGCCATTGTTGCATTATTGGTCTTGTGTGTCCTAGGGGAGCTGTGATCTGTTGTGTTGATGGGCCCTCGGCGATGATGAGGACAATGCCGGTGTCAATGACGAGGACGCGTGTCTGTGGGTGTGTGGATGGTGCAAGTTGATCTTGGGAGAAGAGTTGGAGCGGCGTGTTGTCGGCCCCGGGTTTTTCGTGGAGGAGAGCCAGTGTGTTCCAGTTTACATCGGTCCTGAAGAATGTCAGTGTGACGAGCGAAGCATGTTGTCACGATCAAGCTCACTCTGTCGATAATTCCTGTCGGAGTACCACCGAGGATCCCGTGAAGAGAACTGATGCCTCTAAAGACAAGGATTCATCGATATCGATTTCGACAAACATATCAGAGTCACAATCGGAATCAGTTTCATGATGAACTAGCTCCCAGTCAGGGAAGAATGGCGATGGAGAATCTGCCATGGTCCTTGCTTTGCACTGGGGAGGGGGTCAACCGAAATAAAGTATGAGGTGAGAAACCCAACTCTGCCGTCGCCGCGTCCTTGCCACCTCTTATATCGTCAGCCATCATGTCAAGCCAACACTGCATGCACCGCTCCTTTGGGCATGAACGGGCAATTTTGGACCGTTGCATGTGAAATATATCTCCGATGCCGGTGTGTCTGGCTCATATCATCATGACCACCCGAGACACACATCTGCCTAAGGATAACATGAACCGAATTCAAACAAAAGGTCCCGCCCTATCAAAGGGCAAGATTGAAGCTTGATGTGGCTGAGGTTCAAGCGATTATCGGCCAGGCGGAGCTCTCCGAGTCTAGATCCAAGATGGGAAAACGCGGTGAGGTCTGATACCCCAATCGAGACCAGAGACAACACCGAGCAAGGCAGAATTGAAAAGGGCCAATTGGCCAAGTCCGCCTCAATATTTGCTGGCTGCGGAATAAAAGAGGCTAGAGCCGACGCTTGCCGGTGGCCCTTTCGGGCATGGTCAGTGAGACAAGCCGCGTTCTGAGTGTTCTTGGATCATATGATGAGGTAAACACTGATAACACATGTATTGATTGCCAGAAGCGTCTGTGATAAGACGCCGGCGACAAGGAAGCTGGGCCAGTCGTCGAAAACCAGCATCTCGCTCGCCTTGACCTCTGTTTGTGGCCAATGAAAATCATAGCCTGGATCATGTTTGGTCGCCCCGTCATATCTTTGGAGGATACATCATGGCCTCCATCGTTAACCGCTCGTCCTCACCGGGGACTTGGATGTAAAAAGTTCCCACCCTGGCAAATCCCAGCGACATGTATAGCTCGTAGCCCATTGGACTTGCCATGACCGAGATATCCTTGAGCTTTTCAGCTCGAATAAAGTCCATGCCCCATCTGCACAGTGACGATGCATGACCGCGACGCTGGTAGTCGGGGTCGGTGCCTAGGATCTGGAGATGTATCTGATCAGGGCCGATAGGTCCGAAATAGCGTTTGTAAGCCTTGATTTGGCCCTGCCAGAACTCGTCGAAATGGGCGTGGTCGGCATCCCTCCGCATACTCCCGCCTCGCTTCTCGACGTCGGTCACAGCTGGTGGCATGTTAGTTTTTGTTCAGATTACCGCCGAGATTGGCAATGAGAAGCGAGACTTGCGATCTTGGGGTTTGTAGCTTGGCCCGTACCGGCGTTTATTCCGGTACGACACCTCCCAGATGCTGAACGACACAATCACCAGCTGGCCGTCCTCGTCGGTATCTTCCGACACCATGACCAGCCAGTCGTCATAGTCGAGTCTGAGGAAATACTCGACGAGCATCCGCGTGAACTTGATATGGTCCTCGGGATACTCATGACGCCAGGGAAAGCGGTAGGGCCACTGGGGGTCCAGCGGCATGGTCCGGATCATGACATTGGTAATGGCATCGAGGTCGGGCAGCAGACCCAGCCGGGGCGTCATCGTGCTGACGGTGCAGAACGGGGCTGACAAGCGATGCAGTGTGGGCAGAAAAGGGGTGCCGGCCAAGGCGGGCGTTATCGAGCCCGGGTTGAGCGGAAAAGCCTTGCCTTTACATAGCAGACTTGGGGGGCGCTTGTCCGACATTTCAGGCACCATTTACTGCAGGCCGGAGGCCGTGTTGGTGCTACTAGCGTGCTGCATCCGTCAATTGGAAATGGCGAAACTGGGAATCTTGAGGCAAATGCGGCAGCAGCCCTGAAAGGACCGAGGGTATAAGAAGCCTGTGTCCCGTGGCCGGCGTCTGTGTCTTGCCGTCAAGTGACAGCCCGCGCAGTAGGGACCTTGTGTCAGAGCCTTGTGGGGAGCGTGCCACGGCGATGGCCGGATTTGTGACCGACATTGCGCGCTTGTCGAGCTATCGGATTGCAGTGCTCGAATTGCGGACGCGTGTCGTGTGTTTCGAGCGTTTTTGGGCTGAGACGGCGTCGTGCTGCGAGCTGGACTGGAACAGGTCGTCGGTCTTCAAACGGGAGGAAAAAAAGCGAGGCAACCAGTTGGCTGCCTGACCGCCGTTCCCGCAGGCGGCTAGGCCCAAAGAGGGAGCGTGGTGAGTGCAATTGGCAATGCGGTGACGGGAAGGGTTACACAGCCGCTGCCTCTCAGGGGGCAGCCGCCTAGAGGCCGCGCCTTCCTCAGCACCGCGTCTCTGTGCCGCGCACCAGCTGCCCCCTCTGCAATCTGCATCGGGGAAGGCGGTAGAGACAAAACGACCGACAACAGTCACCCAACGGCCCAACACCGGACGAGTGCGGATTGCGACACCGTAACCATCGCACGGCATGTCGCTCAGATCACCCGGCGATTTGCGACAGGCGTGGTAATATGCGACGACAGGATGGAGAATCCCCGCGATTCCAGTCCCCGCGCGCACGATGCGCACGATGCGCAGCCCGACCCCGCGATTGACGGGCTTCCCGCACTTTGCTCTCCTTGGATGAACTCTTCTTCTGCCTTTGGCGATCAAATCGATCAAATCGCCGCCTTCTTCGCACAGGGCTCTACCCTGGTTTTCCCCGCCGAGGAACCTAGCATATCTCCGGATTATGCACAATCGCAGCAAAACCCGGCGTCCAACATCGCGGCCAGCGCCAACGCACCAAGCAACACGAACACGACACTGACGTCGCAGCCCGGGCCGGCAGGTACGCGATATATACCCCAGTCACCGCATTCTGGGTCGGCGTGGATCCTGCCGACGACGGCAACTACTGCAACTGTTGGCGCTACGTCTCAACTTCTATCCGAGATGGACGGATTCCCGCTCCCGCACAACCAACAGGCATTTCTCTCTGCACTGACTTCGGAGTTTTGCCAATCCGATACGTTTTTTACTCACCCACAGCTTCCCGTTTCGGCAGTTGACGATGATGGGACTCTCCCAACCCCGGCTGGTGGTGTCATTGACTCGGACGGCTTTGTCCAGGGCTATGACACCAAGTTTGACCCGAAGCAAGATCATTCCTGGCCTAGCGAAGACCACGCATCGTCATCTGGTGCCCCTGGTTCCTCTGACGAGATGCTTGCGCAGTATGCTTCCATGCCAGCGTTCGTTCTCGACACCCCCAACGAGCACCAAACGCTCTCCAGCTTTGCTCCCGTCTTTGGTCCATCACCCCCTCCACGTCCGTCCAACCGTGTGCAGAAGAAAGCGCGCAAGAAGCCGACAAAAGCGCTTGACATTGTCCTCTACGAGCCCGAAGCCGCTGCCGAAGGTTCCTCCAAGGCGCGCTCGGGTGACGCTGGGGCTGCTGTTACAGCCCAACCACGCAAGCACATCGTTTTTGAGCACACAAATGGCAAGGTGGGGGCTGAGATGATGGTACTGGGGACCGCTCCCCGCCACCGCTCCAAGTTTACGCCCGAGAAGAGGAGGGAGACTAACATGGCCAGGAAGGAAGGCGTGTGTCGACGATGCCAGTCTTCCAAGAGAAAGGTGTGTGCGTCTTGGATGTTGAGGCGCGGCCGACTGACATGTCTGCAGTGTGACCTTGCTATACAACAGAGCCTCTATGTGCCATGCACCCGATGTCGTGAGAGCAAGCTGTACAAGGGAGCGTCCCCGATGCCGTGCTTCAGGTCCGAGCTAAGGGATGTCATGTTCTTTCGTGCCGGTATGTCCCGTTCTGTATCTCCCAACTCTGTCGGTGACATCGAACTGCTCGGGTATTTTGACCTTCCACACTCTTTCATTCCCGCTGTCTTCGACGTGTGCTGGTGGGACCAACTGCCCTTCCCTTGCTGACCCGCGCAGGACCGGCCGAAAACGAACCCTTCTTCAGTGGACGGCTCAAGAACATCATGGTCGAAGTGCCCAGTGGACCGTGGATTGCGGATATCTCGATGCCCAATGCGCCTGTCGAGACCATTAAGCTTACACAGGGTGTCGGCAACCACAGGCTCACCATCTATGCATCCGAGTTCACGCCTCTCCCACACGACAAGGTGTCTCTGACGTGGAAGGATAGGCTTGGCAACCACCACGAGATGAAGATGCCGCCCTACTGCCTAACCAACGTGCAGAAGCTCACCACACAGATCGAACAGTACATCAACAGCGCCAAGCGCGACTATCTCGGGCTTCTGGCGCGGGAGGGACCGCTCGTCTCGACGACGGTCCGCATGGCCGTGCAATATGCGCATACGAGACCAGTAAGCTCAGCGTTGCCTGGTGAGGCCCACAGCTAACAGTTTAGGGTTCACTTGTCTCCATGG